TTCTCCCCAATGTCCCTCAATCCAATAGATGCTTAGGTTCCTTGATATTCCAAAAGTCATGTTCCATAGCTTTTTAATTGGAAAGTTCATTGAATCCTCATGAGTCATGTCTATTGGTTCTTCTAAGATCACATCCTTTGAATGAATAATTATGTCCTTTTGCTTCTCATTTGACACATTCCTTGTATTTTCAAAGGTCATGTCTCCTAATCTTTCAATTTGACAAATGGTGTCACTTGGAATTTCCTACAAGTCAAAGAAAAATTCTGCATTTTCAAAGTTAGAATAATCATCTTGAACCTTGCGTTCTGTCAATAGGCATTCTCTTATCAAGCACTTTGATGAATAAGCACTTGTTTTCATATCATTTTCCTACATGCTTGCTGATGTTTTTTCATTCCTCATAGCCTCAACACTTTGTTTCATTTTGACTTGATCATTCTAAACTTGTTTTGGCGTTAAAGGAGTAAGGATAATTTTCTTCCCTCCATGGTTGAACAAATATTGATTGGTGAAACTATCATGGATAGTCCTTTTGTCATATTGCCATGGTCTTCCAAGAAGTACATGGCTAGCGTACATAGGAACAACATCACACATAGCCTCGTCCTTGTATTTTCCAATTGAAAAATGAACTATCATATGTTTGTTAAAGTTAAGTTCCCCTCATTCGTTGAGCCATTGTAACTTATAGGGACTCGGATGCTTCATTATTTTGAAGCCAAGTTTTTCCATCATGATTGTGTTGGCTACAATAGTACAAGTCCCACATTAACATGGCATCGGGTATGAAAGCTATTTTCTCATTGTGCATTGTCTTCTGTTACTTGTGAATTTAAACTTTGTTTAATCACCAAGATTTCTCTTTCAACGGGAGCCTCAATTTCTTCTTCTTCATTGGCATTTACGTGTGGCTCTTCTTCTTCTTCTTGTTCAGACTCAATATTACCATTTCAAATTAAAAGCATTATGTTTCGGTTAGGACACTGTGTATATACATGACCCCTCCCAACACATTGTGTAATACATGCTGTCTCAAACGTTCAGTTGTTTGTTTTCCTCAGTTAGGGTTTTTGTTGACTTATTGAGCCATTGAAGATTTGGCATGTTTTTTTTATAGGAGAAGGAGTAGACTTCTTTATGTTTTTTGGACTCCACTTTGATGGTGTGGCATAACATTGCGGGATGTATGCCTCCTCTGTAATTTCCTTTCTATCTTCATTTCCATTTGCATCATTTCATCTATTTCAATATAATGTTATAACTTCAAGGTGTTGGCAATTTCTGGATAATTTCGGCAAGGAATCTAGCCATGGTTGCTTCACGATCCTTCTCGATGTTGACTCGGGATGTATGTATGTATGTATGTATTTATGTGTGTGTGTTTGTGTGTGTGTGTGTGTATGGCTGTAAACTATAAAGATGGGGCACCATTCCTGTTGCAATAAGGAGAAGGTGAAGAGAGGGCTATGGTCACCCGAGAAAGATGAGAAACTTATTAATTACGTTACAACTTATGGCCATGGTTTCTGGAGCTCTATCCCTAGACTTGTCGGTATGGTTCTTTTGCCTATGTCAATTCTCAAATATTGGACTAGTTCTTACGAAGCTGGAGCTGCTATCTGATCGGTGCAGCTTGTCCAGGAGACCATGCTTCTTCTTCTCTTCTCCCTCTTATGTGGCTTTGATTCTTCAATCTTAACCTTGTCAAACTCAGTTACGAGCGCCTCCTCTTGGGGCTTCTCCTCTTCTTTCTTCCCCATGAAATCGAACAACCCTCGGTGCTACGACTCCACTGCTTCTTCACCGACGACGCTGCTCTTGACCTCATAAATCTTTTTTTTTCAAGTCACGGTTGAATAAGGGGAATAGTGTCCCGTTATCGACGCTATTTATTGTTTAATGCTAAATTGCGATCGCGACAGACCGTTATTGTTGTGTTTTCGCTACCCACCGCAATTTTCTCGAATATCGATTTCGGATGGCTGCGCTACCGCGAAATAGCGGCCACTATTGCGGTTGCATTCTGCTATTTGAATCCCTATTTGGAACTATGAGGGTTCAAAAGCAACATGATCTGACGACTTTAACATGATATTATTTTAAAGGGTAAACTATGCCGATAGTCTTTTTTGTTATCGGTTTGATCAACTTTGGTCAACAAAAAAATTAAGGGGAAATGGTACCTTATGTTATTGATTTGTCTGGTTTAAGTCCCTATGCTATTAATTTTGTTTAATCCCCTTTATTTTAAGTTCCTTTTGTTGAAGTCAATAACATGGCTAAGAAACTAAAATCGAACGGGACCGATAACGTTGGGGACTAAAATCGGATGGACCAATAATGTTAGGAACTTAAATCGGATGGACCGATGACATTAGTGACCATTTCCCCTTAATTTTTTTCGATGACCAAAGTCGGTCAGACCAAAAACATAAGGGACTATCGGCATAGATTACCCTATTTTAAATGTGTTGGGAGACCATTAAGGATGAAATAGCAAAAGTTTGACGTCCTTAGAAGTGGTGGACTCTTTTTGACGATATTGATCGACTGGGAAGATTGTGAGAGTTTCAATTTGCCTTTGCTTCAAGAAGAACGAATGCCATGGCTATCCATCTTTGTAAAGCTGGACTTTGTATGTTGAATTTATGCAAGGGACGGTGGTAAAGGTACATTCTTAACTTGTGGTCATGTTTTGGAGTGGTTTAAACTGGTCTGGTTTTGAGATTAGTGTGCAGTGGATTGAAAGTGTTATAAGAAGTGCGTCTTGCAGTTGTTGAAAGGGGTCTGTGAATTTAGTTATCTCAGATGTCTGCACTCTTTTCTTTCATTTAGGTATTATAAGGTTTTCAATGAGTCACATATTTCGGGTCTAATAGTACATGATATTTTAATAAAAATTTAATTGCCGAGCAAAAAAATTACTGTCTCCTCGTTAAATTCAGCAAAATATATAACAAAAGCCTAATCTAGAAAGAATGTGTCTTTAAATAAATCTTATTATGCAGGAAAGGGTATCATTGACATCTTTTAAGATCGGAAAGACTCCAATATTTATGTATTTAGTTATCTATCGGATGTCGTCACTATTTGGTTCTCCATCTTAATTGTCTTGTTACATTTTATCTTGTTCCACCTTCATTAAATTCATTCATTTTTACAGTGCAAAAGCTTGAATTGCAATCCCATTAATCCCTATAGAGACGATTTTATTTACTACTTTATTATTTGTCGGTGTATACTTATACACTTCCACAACTCTTTACACGCGCAACAAGATTGGGCAATGAATGTTGAAGCTTGAGCCCGTCGTATTTTATATGGGTTTAATATTTTTATAAATCTACTTTTTGACTTAATATTTTAACTCAAAATCTTCTAAATTTCATGTGAACCATTAAATTTAAGTGGATAATTTGACACTTAGCACCTAAAGAGATTTAGTGGTGTGATATTTTTTTTGAAAGGTATGTTTTGTATGATTTTATTGAATATGCATACAAAATAAGACAAACGACATGGACTCGTTAAAAAACCTCCCTAAACATAAATGGAGGAAAAAGAGTGCACCATATCGATGTCGGGACATAAGAAATATACAACACTTCGAACACCATCCCACAATCCATAACATACCTCAGTGGTTAAAGGAATCGTTGTTGTTAATTTAAAAGGTTATTATAATAATTTTAAATTGTAGTTGTTTCGAAAATAAGATAAATTTAAATTAAGCATGAACCAATTTATCTCAATGGTTAATGAAATCGTTATTGTCTCTAGAGGTCACGAGTTTGAGTACTAGCGACTGTTGCAGAGTGATTAAGCGTTCATTGTTAAATAGTTGAGCGTATTTAGAATATATATATAATTCTTCATAAAAATATATATATAAGTATCAGTGTACTAAAACGACTTTGAGACTAATACACATTAACCGACTGAATGATTAAAGATATTTATGTTATCTCACTTTATATAATTCAAATTTTAATATTTACCTTCATAATGTAATACCTTTCTACTCAGTAAAATAATCACAATGAAATATAATTATAGAAAAAGGAATATAAAACTATTCTATAAGGAAAAACCTAGTTTTCCTTTATTGGTGTGTATTTATCTCTCTTTTTTTGTCTTTGTTAATCGGTCGCGCCAACAACTTTAATGTTGGTTGTTGACCGTTGGTATTCTTTGTATTTTTCTTTTCTTTTATCGTATCTCTATTTCGTTTGTTTTTTTTTTCAATAATTCTGTCTATATGACATGTTTTTCATCTACCTTTATTGCACGTTTTCTTCTGTATTTTTACATGTTTTTCGGTTGTTTTGACTGTTTTTCATTTATCTTTTTATAATGGTTGATTTGACATTACAACAACTGATGAAAATGGCGTTTATCTGATATATTGTTGATATTCCTTACTTTGGACCCTCAGATTGGATTTGGATAACCGATTTGCATTCATGTATAGCTTTTCACGTCGCTCGAGTTTGGTTTGTTGTTTTTCGGTTATCTTTCAATAGCTTCATCCCCTTTTGTCGTTCGTTTATCGATGTGATCAGATCTGTTTGTATCTATCTTTGTTCGAGTTTCTTTGTTAGATTTTTAATCTTTCTTTATATGGTACTTGTGTGATCTTAAGTTGCTAGTTTTGTTTTAATATAAAAATTTATCTTAATTATGTGGTTAATTGACGATTCAAATTATAAAACTTTATTGTAATTAAGAATATTTCATGTTTTAAATAAAATTAATTTCTTCTACTAAAAAAACCACATTGACATTAACATGTGCATATTAATAATAAATGCACCATATGAATCCGAAATCATTAATTAATAACAAATGCGTCGTATGAATTCTTCCGATGACACAATCTATTTGGTAAATACAATAAACAAAGATTAATCACATGCAAGTTGTGTCTGCAAATTCTTGGAAATATTGAGCACCAAATCACACTTAAAATAAATCCACTACTTTATATTCAGAAGTAGGGTTTGATGGGTATGGACTTTGATTCCTTCATGTTTCAACCCTGAACTGAGAATGAAAAATCTTCCTCGGTGACTGCTCTGGACGTGTACACCTCCCCTTCACTACCATACGAAGAATAATCTTCGGCATTATCACTATCTCTGTCCTTCAACTCTTCAATCTTCTCCAAAGCCTCTTTCAGTTCCCATCTCTTCTCCATGTTCCATTCACAGCAACACATTCCGATCTTCAACAACTTAAGCATCTCGCCTTCCCCGTTCCTCGTGCCTTTCATGTCCTTGTCGAACACCTCACCGGTCCATTCTTCTCTAACGACCGAGTTCACCCATGTTGCCAGATCCGTATTGCCGCCTTTACCTTGTTTCAAGTAGTTGGCGGGGAACTTACCCGTTAGGAGTTCGAGGATGAGTATTCCGAGGCTCCACACGTCGGTCTTCCATGACGTTCGGTCGTGTTGGGAGAATTCGGGGGACTTGTATGCCACCATGAATTGATGAGCATGGTCTTTGTTGACGACGGGGATTAGGCCGTAGTCGGCTAGAAGGGGTTCGAATGTGTAGTCTAAGAGGACATTGGAGGATTTGAGATGTCCGTGGGGTAGTGTGAGGTTGGAGAGTTCATTGTAAAGGTAGGCCAAACCCTTTGCTACTCCCTTGATTATCTTCAGCCTTGTTGGCCAATCTAACCCTGGTTTCCCTGGAGCACGCCTAGCTGACAAAATTATGCCATCGTAACGTTAGTTCAGATATTGCTATAGTGAAAAGGGGGAATAAAAAAGTTTAGATCAATGGTTATAAATAAACAATAGATTCATAAAAAAAACAAATTTGTTGACTAAAAATAATATTTTCTGTTCCACTAAATTTATCTCTTTTAAATTTTAAAAATTTCCAATTAAATATCCATTACAAAAATTAACAAATAATAACACTTATATTTCTTTCTTTATCCTTATATGTTATATTATTTTATTTCTATCAAAATAATCTGTCAAATCTATTATTTACTTTAAAAAGATAATTTTATCATTTTCATTATCTTATATGATGTGACTTGATATGTACTTAAATTTACCTCATAAAAATATGTATTTAATCAAAATGAGAAAAAAAGAATAATGAAACATAATAAGTACGGAGATTTACACTTAAATCATACATCTTAAATGTAAACATTAAATCTTAAATTATAAAGTCCTATAACATAAATCTCAACTTAAGATCCCTAAACCCTACTTTATTATTATTATTTACAGAGGTGAAGCAATAAATTTGTCTTTTGGAAAAGGTAGATTATAGTTTTCTAAAGGTTTTATTATCCCAATAATTAAGTGGTACTCATATTTATTTTCTAGGACTCAAACCATAAAAATATCTTATAATCCCTTTTTAAAAGGATTAAAATGAAAGCTTGCCATTTAGGGGCCTAATGCAGTTTAACCATGATCTTAACTTAAAACATTCAATTTTAAAGGATTAAAATTAAAAAAATTATCATTTTTTATCATGTTAGGGATATGACATTTCAATATTAAATAGTGAATGTTATTTTTAAACAGATTATATCTTGTAATTATCAATATTAATAAGAAACTAAAAAAAGAAAAATCAAGTTTAAGGGTTATGGAAAAGGAAAAGAACGTACAATGAAGATGACTAGCCAGGCTTCCATTGGGAGCAAAATCAGAGACCAAAAGCTTCTCTTCTCTTCTATAATGGAACGCCACAAGGGAAAGTACGTTAGGGTGTGATAACCTTCCAAGCCTAGCCATGTGCTCACGGAATTCCTCTTTCCCCACCTTGTTCATTTGCTTGAATCTCTTCACCACCATGGCTCGCCCATTCGAAATCACAGCTTTGTAAGACGACCCGAAGCTCCCGCTTCCAAGCACCTCGGCCGACGCCCGGAGCAAGTCTTGCAACTCGAACCTCTCCCTCTCGTCCCTCACGAAATGCAGCCTCGCGTTCTCGCCTAGTTTTTTGTAATAATTGGCTGATTTGTCTTCGCTGACCTTCCCCACTGTCACGTTGTTTCCTGGTTTCTTCTTTTCTGGTCTATTGAATTGGGATGCTATTGTTGGATCTTTGAGGATGTAGTGAACAGCTGCGATTAGAGATATGATAACCAACGTACAGGCTACAACGGTGATTATTATGATAGTTCGTTTCCTTCTTGAGGATTTGCATTGGGGTAGCGGCCTGCCGCATAGGTTGTTACCTGTTCCATGCAAAAATCTTACGTATAGTTCGGGAAAAACCAGGAAAATATCGTGGGCGGAAAGGAGTATTAGGAAAATAGATTCGGGGAAAATGATTTAGGGATCTATGATATTACTACAATGGATTGTAAGAATTGGTTATGCATCTATAATGAATTTCATAAATTATATTTTTATTAAAATTCACCACATGGGCATAACAAACACAACGAATTTCAATAAAAAATATATTTTATAGAACTCATCACACAAATGACGAGTTTCTATATTCATTGTAGCAAATACCATTGATCCTTAAATAATTTTCAACCAGTCATATATCTCAAATTAGTTTTGGCACGGGGATTATTCTACCAAATTTGCCTATAGTTCAAGTCTTATTGTTGCGAAAATCAAATATTTATTCAGGGATGGACCAACGTATGATTTTATATTAGTAAAGACAAATTTAAAAATTTCTAGGAACCAAGATTGATTATCAATAGAAAAATATAAAGGAAAAATCTAAAATATATGATAATTTAAAATTTTCGGAGGATGAATAATTCCCTTCCGGTCCATCCTTTTATATATATATATATATATATATATATATATTCATACCTGCGAAAAAACTTGGGTTCATGTTGCTCAATCTGTAGGGTATTGGACCATAGAGATTGTTATGAGCGAGATTAACCAAAGTCAGACTATCCTGCTTAAAATCGGGTATCCGCCCTTCAAAACGATTCCACTCAAGGCTCAACACCGACAATTTCGGCAACGTCGCCAACGATCTTGGTATCAAACCAGAGAAGTTATTCCATCCGAGAAAAACCTTTTGCAGTGCCTTCATGCCTGCGAACCCGTCGTCGCGTATTGGACCCGAGAAACTATTGTTTGCCAAATACAAGACCCTCAAATAAACAAGCTTGTTCAAGTCAGGGAATGGACCTGTGAAGCTGTTGTTCATAAAGCTTACGGTACGCAGAAGTTTCAATCTCTTTAGTGTGTCTACATCTATCATACCTTCTAGACCCATATTTTCGAGCTTTATCCCAAAGACGGAACCGTTGCTACAGCGTATACCAGTCCAGTTTGGATCGTCGCCGCTGCATGGACCTGGACCCGACGCGTTCCAATCGTCTAGCTGAGGGCCGTAATTGGTTAAAAAGGTCTTGAACTTGAGTAGTATCTCGGCCTCGGTTTGACACCATGTTGGCCCCATGAAACATGCTAATGTGAATAGCAATGGGAGCCAAAAATAACATGGTTTAGAACGGTCCATTTTTTTTTTTTGGAAAAATGAAGGGTTTTAGTTTTGGTAATGGTAGGTTTAATCAATTTGGTGAGGTGAAAAGGGGGTCGGGAGATGCTGATATGATAATGATGGGAAGGGAGAAAAGGACATTATGGGTGGGATTGGCAAAGTTCTTGTTAAGGCTGAGCTGTGAGGCCGGCCGACTAGTTTAATGATTTGTTTGTACTTATGTATGTCGGGCTGAAATGTATATTTCATCCTATTTTGGAAGTGCTTTAATTTCTTGGTCGACGTTTGGCTGTCAACCTGAGTCTTGCAACAACGTTGGTTTTGGTCTTTTGTATGGGATTCCTCGTGATTTTATATTAGAGGATAAACTTTTAAAATTTTAAGAAAATAAACTTAAAAAATTTAGAGAACTGAAAATATATTATTAATAAAATATCTAAAAATTATTTAAAATATATAGTAATTTGAAATTTTTAAAGAGAATACTACACTCATTTTCGTTTGTGATCCCTAATTATTCCTGAATAACCATTTACGATGTTCATGATGATGCATATTCTAACATATATAATCCATAATCTTATTATATATATATGCAATCAAAGGTTACAGTTGTAAATAACGTACAGATGAGAGCAATTGAAAACAATCAGCAAGAACAAGGCCTGCGTATGGGAACGTCCGGAAACTGATTTAATATACGGTTAAATTATAAATTGGATCCTCTGTTCTTCGATCTCCCCCGTCGGCTTTTTATTGGTTAGAAATTAGAATTCCGATTTCACTAAATAATAAAGAATTCAACTTTATTGATAAAACTATTATAGAAACATGCTATACTTTTGGAGATTTTCTTCTGAGACGTCCTCAGAAGAAGTAACGCAATCGACCCAATAAATTATAAGTAGGGAACTTTTTGAGACAAAGTCTTCTTAACCATATAAAATCAGTCATTTTTTTTTCTTTCCTTATTCTTGTTTCGCACCAATAAGAAAAGAGAGACATAAATGTAGACAGTGGTTTTCGTCTTTTTATTATTATTATTATTATTTAATAATTAATAATTAAAATTTTATTACAAGCCTAATTACAAAGGTGACCCGAAGCCCAGTTACAAAGCAGACCCAAAGCCCAACAAGTCACCCAAGATTCGACCCATCAGCCAGGCCCGATCAGGTGGCCCAAACCCGGCTAGGGTTTTCACCCTTAACCCCAGCTGCCTTCATCCTCAACATTTGGATATGATTTAGATCCAATGGTCCAGATTGGAACCTAAATAGGGTTTTACCCTAAGAAGTTATCAGTCGCCGCCGTCGATGAAATTGGAACCGTCCGATGTCGTGTGTGAGGAGCACGAGCCCAACTCTTTAACTTCCCGCCGCGTGAAACGTTGATCAAGCCAAATTAGACGCCGATATCACCGTTCAGATTTAAAATATTTGGGTGCATTTAATGCACCCAGCCAACTCACGACCTCCTTTGGTGAGTCATAGCTCCCCCTAGGTGAGTCACAGCTCCCCCTAGGTGAGTCACTGCCAGAGCCCCAGTGACTCACAGGGCTTCTCTTCTTTGACCGGTCCGAAAAGAGAGCCACGGGGCCTATAAAATAACCCATAACCTGCAAGAAAAAAAGAAACAGATGGAAGAGGGTCAGCAACCATTCGAAAATACCACAATAAACTAAAACAAGAACAGTGAGGAGAGAAGAAACTTGTCTTACCGACATTGGAGTCCTCAACATCGCCGGAAAGCTCTTAGATCTAGGAGGTTTCATAGGTTTTAGGGTTTAAAGGGTTTCATATATGGGTTCAGGAGAAAAAGGGCATCGTTTTATGGTAGTTTGGTCGAACTTCGGCCCCCGTGGATGATAGCGAAGGTTTCTGGAAGACGGTGGCTGGAGGTTTCCGGCTTCCCTCTGGTTAAGAAATGTAGAGAGAGGCGAGAGAGTTTGTTTTCTCTCTTTTTTAGAGAGAGAATGAAAAAAATAAAAATGAGATTTTTGCTCATTTTTTGGTCGATTGATGGGTATTTATACCCTCCCCATACGACGTTGTTTAGGGGGAGGGGATGTGCATTTTGGGTGTTTGGGGAAATTATTCCCGCAACCCTCGTAACTTTGTAATATTTCATTTTGGTTACTGTCATTGATTTCCATGTATTTTAATTTGGATTTCAGATTTTATTTTGTTTATATTTTAGTCACTAACCGTATTCATAGGTGTTTTGGATAAATATCTGGTTAAGTACTTATATTTCAATAGTTTTCATTTTAATCTTGAATTGCTATGATGGCTAAATTACAATTCCAATATCTCTATTATGTGTTATTTTTGTTTCTGGCTATTATTTTTGCTTATTTTACAATTTAATCCTTAAGTTTAATTTTTAATTGTGAATAATAATATTGGTTTAATTATGTTTGAAGTGCCTAGCATATAAAATATTTACATTTCAGCTACTACCTGTTTTGTGTTATATTAGTATATTATATTCCCCTATATCGATAACTTATATATATATATATATATTATTTACATACATAGGGGAATATAATATAATACTAATATAACACAAAAACAGGTAGTAGCTGAAATGTAAATATTTTATATGCTAGGCACTTCAAACATAATTAAACCAATATTTTAAAATTTTGAATTTTTTCAAATTTTAAAAATAAAATGAAGAAAACAAACATTTTCAAACAAGAAAATCTCTCTGGAGTAGATCTTGGCAGTTAACACACATCTCAGACACAGAGCTTATGATTAGATTTAGTGCTGGAGTAAGAAATGATGAATGTTAGGGAACTTTTAAAGGTATGTATAATTCAAAAGTATTAATGTTAGGGCATTTTGAAGGCGCATATCAGCAAGAAATAATAAATGTTGGGACATTTTTTTGAAGTCCTATATCATCCAGGAATACAAGATCATTAATTTAAGCAGACATTTATTGGGACATATGGGTGTGAAGAATGAAAATGGTGAAACTGGGACAATGAAGCTTACCATATATGATCATTTTGTCCATCATACAGTTGCATTATTCTGGTAATTTCATATGCATTAATATTTGCGAGCCTAAGCGTCCCACTTATATTCCCACTAAGTTTTGGTGTCATTGTAATACTATATAAATGCTCTGAACACTATACAAAAAGTTTCTCTTGTTGAAAATTCTAGGCAGAAGCCATAGGAAATGATGAATGCGTTGTTGAATGTTTTACGAACCAATGACTATGGCGTTGGACCAATGTTGCAATCATGTGGTGTTTCCATTTTTTTCCCAAGATAAAGGTTTTATTCTATAACCCTAAGGTTAAAAGTGAGGAATAGTGAAGATTTCTTTAGAACGGGTGATGAAATTTTAACAGCAATAAACTAGTGGAGCCAACTAAGGTTGAATGATGAGGTGTTATTAAACCTCTCAGCACAATGTGTTACAAATAGCCTTGTTTAAGATCCGATTTGATGTGGAAACATGAAATGAATTAGGGTAGACCTCCCTTTGATATATTTTAAAAGTCAAATTAGAACAGACACTGCTCTCCCAAGATGGTAGATCTTTCTTTCAAAGATGAGATCTCTATTGGATTTCTACACAAGTTCTGGTAAAGAAAGCCAATCTTATCAGGGGCAAAAATTTGCAAGGGGTAAGAAGAAATTGACACAACCCAATACTTGCAAGAGTGCATGCTGGTGCAAACAAAAGTGAAGATAACATAATCAGGAAGAGAATGAAGATCGCTCTTGCAGCAGTCCCCATCACATATCAAGAAAACATGCATTTATACATGATACATGAATCTATCATTACACCATACATTATTTTATATATGATAAATTTTGATCTCCCTCATGAGGATGTCTGTTAAAATTTGTTTTGAGAAAATTTTCTCTATTAAATTGGTTTCCCTAAAAACATCCATCGTGGCCTTCTTAGAACATGTTTCCTAAGAAGCTCAATCTTGTCTTACTAAAAACTATGTTCCCCTGAAAATTCAACATGACTTTCTCGTGAAGAGAAGTTAACCTTTGTAATTCCTAACTCCCTCGTGAGGAGGAGTCAATCATTGACTTTCTTCTGAAGAGAAGTCAATCTTTGTTATTCATGACTTCCTCACAAAGAGGAGTAAATCCTTTACTTCCTCGTGAAGAAAAGTTAATCTTTTTTATACCTGACTCCCTCACGAAGAGGATTAATTCCTTGAATTCTGGAGCAGATCTGTCTTCCAAAATTGATCTAAATACCCAAAAAAAAAGGAACAGATCAAGTCTGATCTCCCTAAAGAAAATTGGAGCAGTCTCGTCTTCTAAAATTGATCTGACTACCCGATAAAGAGAAACATATCAAGACTGATCTCCCCTAAAGAAGAGTGGAGCAGACTCGTCCTCCAAAATTGATCTAACTACCCGAAAAAGAGGAACATATCAAGTCTGATCTCCCAAAAAGAAGAGTGGAGCATACCCGTCTTCCAAAATTGATCTAACTACTCAAAAAAGAGGAACATATCAAGTCTGATCTCCCCTAAAGAAGAGTAGAGCAGACCTGTCTTCCAAAATTGATCTAACTACCTGAAAAAGAGGAACGTATCAAGTCTAATGTCCCCTAAAGAAAAGTGGGGCAGAATCGTCTTCCAAAATTGATTTGACTTCTCGAGAAAGAGGAAAAAATCATGTCTGGTCTCCCCTAAAGAAGAGTGGAACAGACCCATCTTCCAAAATTGATCTGACTACTCGAAAAAGGGGAACAAATTAAGTATGATATCCCCTAAATAAGAGTGGAGTAGACCTGTCTTCCAAAATTAATATGACTACCTGAAAAAGATGAACATATCAAGTCTGATCTCCTCTAAATAAGAGTGGAGCATACACATCTTCCAAAATTTATCTGACTACCCAAAAGAGAGGAACAGATCAAGTCTGATCTCCCCTAAAGAAGAGTGGAGAAGACCCATCTTCCAAAATTGATCCGACTACCCGAAAAAGAGGATCAAATCAAGTCTGATCTCCCCTAAA